CATATTGCAAAAGAGTGCAAGACCATTACCAGCAAACACCAGCAGAAACCTGAACATAAAGCAGCTGGAGCCATTTACAAAGACAGTGTTGGTAAGAAACAAGAAAAGAGTGACTGGCATTATAGACGCTGCTGCCAGAAGAAGGAGAATCAAGACTACTTGTTAAATTCAATATAAGAAAACGTGATTGATCAGTGTAAGACTAATGGTCGGCTCAAATTAACAAATGGATCAACAGTGCCAATAATGATTGGAGCTTGTGACAAATATGAAGAGATGCCAACAAATCATAATATGCCAATATGTGAAGGCAATGTTGGGGACAAGAAAGTGAAGATTCTACGAGACACTGGGTGCAGTAGTGCAGCAGTGAGAACCAGTTTAGTATCCAATGATCAGATGACAGGCAAGGTACACTTGTGTGTGCTAATTGATTGGGACAGTGAGAAAATTTCCCACCCCAAAAATACAGGTGTATACTCCATATTATGTAGGAGATCTTGAGGCCATGTGTATCACAAAACCAATACACAACTTGGTAATAGGAAACATACCAGACAGTAGAAACTTTTAAGAACTAGACAGAAAGAAGATTGATGAAGTATCTGCTGTCACCACCAGAGCTCAAGAAAAGAAGAGAAAACAAGACACCAAGCCCTTGCAAGTGTGAAAAGGCGATATCCTGAATTTAGGTTTGCAGGAACTGAAGGAAGCACAGAAGAAAGACCCTTCATTGCAGAAACTTTGGGACAATGCCCAGAAGAAAGTCGAGCACAAATCAAAGGGGAAAGATACTTATAGAATAGAGGACCAGAAGGGGGTTCTATACCAAATATATCAAGGCAGTTATACTTGGGAAGTTAAACAGATCATAATCCAACAGAATACCGGACTCAAGTTATGAAGTTGGCTCATGAATCAATTGTGGGAGGACACCTAGGAACAAAGAAAATGGCAGACAGAATCACCAGTAATTTCTATTAGTCAGGAGTAATTGGAGATGTGAGTAGATTCTGTAGGTCATGTGGCATCTGCCAAAGGACAATACCTAGAGGGGAGGTAGCCAAAGTGCCAT